AGTTTTGGCTCAACATAACCTACTTAGGAAAACGTTACCTGGATTTAAAAATTTTGTCCCTGTTTGTATATGTGTGATTAGTATATCATTTCATGGCTTAATTATTTTGCAAAAGTATTGCAGTTTAATTACTGTTTTTCACCTTATTACTAAAAAATGACCTGTAGTTAGGTTGCTCAAATTTAATGATATCAGTATAGATGTATCTAGAATGACCTAATATCATTCTTATGCTATAAAAAAATACATATTTGTGTTAGTTGAACCAAGTCATCTTATATATTCAAATATCGTTGTGTTGACTGGATAGTTTTCATTCGAATAAACTGTTAATACGCGTTTTTATATATAAGACGAAAGAGTGGTTCAGTGGTTCAGTTGTCCTGTATTTTTCTAAATCAACAGAACTGTTGATGGCTCATTTCATTCAAAAGTTTAAAATGATCAGTCATCATTATTCCAATATAAATAACGTACTTACACAACGTAATTCAAAATAATTATAATGGAATTGAATAAAAACAACATTCAACAAAATTCTTTCATTCTTACCCATCTAACCTATAATTATCTGAATCAGGTCAATAGATGCTGTCTCAGTGCATAGGTGATAATGTTTGACCAACTGATGACAATTCATATTGTAATTAAATTAGGTTTATAAACTAGTCTAATACCGGCTTACTTGGCTAGATAAGTGACGAATTAGTTTTATTTTAAGATTTGAATAGTTAAACAATCTTGTCATGGATGCGCACTGCTGATGAGTCCCATACCAGGACGAAACGGCCGTCCAGTGCTTCCAGGTTTCTAATGGTGGGCTAACAATGATTGATTGATGATTTCAAATGTGTCAAACATATATCTTGCTAAATATGTTAATGATCTGACGGATGATTAGAGTTATTGACATTTTAAGTAAGATTGATTGGCTTGAAGTATCTGTAAGAATTTGTTAGTGTAATCGTCTTATATTACCTTCATTTATTTAGAAATAATTGATAGATTTCTTTGTTTAAATCAATGAAACAATACTTATTTGATTTGGATGTGCACGATAATATCGTTTGAATAGTTTGATCGTAGTTGGTTCGAGTGCATTTAACATCGACTTTTTCCTGAATACAGTACAAATCATTAGTCTATATTTCTACAAGGATTTATCAGATTCATTGTGATAAATAGTAATCATTATATCGTTCCACTGATTAATACGGTGACATGAATATATTATTCACAATTAAGATTTCTTCGACTTAAGGAGATTTCTATAGTCTAATTTTTGTAATAATTCTTCGGAATTTATATATATATATATATATATATATATATATATATTTCTACTCTCAACTGTTTTATTTCAGATTATCAGTTCTTGTTAAGTGTACTCAGATAATTAGTTTGGTGATAACTTTTCACATTTACATTTCCCAAGTCTTCAGTTTACTAGAATATTTTTATTCAATCTCTAAGAAGAATCTAGAAAACAAAACGCTTTTTTATGGAATATCATTCAGTTTGGATTTTTGTGCGTTGTTTTTAAATCCCATATCTCCTACAAGTCTATTAACAGATTTCAAATAGATAGTTAACTAGTGAATATGTATCACAATCAACTATATGACTTGAATTAGTTGAATGAAAACAAAGTTGACCGATTTAAATCAAAGTGGTTGCATATGGTTTGTGCATTTCAAACTAAACTATCTTATCAGACTAAAACCATCATAGAGGCACACTATAGTATCCTACAAAAAGAAGACAACTTAGTTCTGTTGAAATCAGACAAAGGTTTTAATATTTACCAATAAATAAATTAGAAAACAAATGATGATGAGCAGTGACGAAACCGTATTAGTCTAAGTTTTTACACTTACTAATGTTTTGATACAACACTGAACCATGTATTGTAGGCTTTCATCATAAACTGTTACTGGATGCAAGATTGTTTGCTCAAATTTTTATAAATTGTGAAGTAGTGATTATTTATGAAAACCGAATGGCAAGCGCAATATCCTAATTAGATCTATATCGATGCACCGAACATTTGGTCAGTAGTAAAAAACTGTGTATTCATTTCTAGTAAAATGGCAACAAGATTTTAGATACAAAATAAATATGATTAAGTATTATCTAACATATCGATGATTGTTTGATATAGTTTTAGCTTGTTATCCATAAATCGTTGTCAAGATACGTAATTATTTGACACAATTCTTTGTGGCTAAACTATATTTACACTATTAGTAAAAGGTAGTTGAGTTATTTTTAGTTAAAAACAAAGATACCAGCAATATTAAACTGTGATTCATTTCTAAGAAAAGTTGAAGTCTCCTTTTCAGTAAAAATGTTGAATGCCTATCTCAGGCAGTCGATATTATTTGATTTAGGTAAACAGTGTCAAAGTTTCCCTTAACTAGGTCTAGAGATATCTAACGAAGCATCAGGTGTAAATTTTCATCCTACTTATAAGTAGTTGTAATTTAATTTTAAAATTTACTCTTAGGTTATTCCTTTTATGCACATAGCTGAAATGCATAACTTGACTTTTTGTTTTCCAGAACAATGATGAAAGCTTCGCAGTTGATTCATCCGTCCAAGAGAATGTGACACTCGTAGAGCACCTGACTTAGATACACCAATTTTCCAAAAATCAATTTATACTGTTAACTGGTGAAATATAAACATTTGTAATCGTATAATTCATTTCTTGCAACCATCAAAAATGTCTATGAAACAGTGGAAGTCGAATTTTGAAATATTTAAAACAATACCTAGTATTATTTATGAAAGATTTTAAGCTTCACCATCTGATTAATGTTCAGGTTTCAATGTCTTTAAGCACTAGGTGAAACAAAGTGTGTGTGTGTGTGATAGAGAGAGTGTGAGATTATCTGTTAACTTATACCATCGTATATTTACATGGAACAATAAATTTTTCAGTCGTTTATTGATATTTTTTGTGTTTACTAACTTCTAATACAGTAATAATAATGATCAATTTTACAAATAGTACAGAATAAGTGTGGTTATTATTGAAAAAAAATGAATCCATTGGACAAATGTTGATAATGGAACCGAGAATATGAAGTTTATCAGTCCTGTGCGATACATTAGTTGCATGCATTTCGAACAACCTTAATCACATATTTACTTGATAAGGTTTTTTCTCCATATTTCTTTTATCGATAAATGATTAATCTAATGAGTGATTTCTCTAAATAAACTACTGCACTTAAATAAACTAGAATTTTAATAAAAGTTGCTTTCTCATTGCATTATCATTATTCAAGGTGTAACAATGACAATAATGGTAATTACCATGTTTAAACTTTTTACTACCTGATGTATTTACTTAAACCCTACAGTGGGACATTACCTTGTAAGAAACCGAAATGGTATTACTCAAGCAAATGCTAGAACAATGCGAAAAAAAATAGTTGAAATTGAATGTCTTCAAACTATTCAGCAGTTCAACTAGATGAACACAAAAATGGATACGATGGATTTAGTACGTAATGTTGTTGTTTCTCGAGTAATAAACAGAAAGATTAACGTCAAATGCTTCATATTTTTAACAAAAGTAGGCATTACTCATTAAAATTTATGTAGACCAACGGAACTTGTAACTCATCTCTCACTGCCACGATGATGTTATTTTCGCCTCTTTCCCTACCCTTCTCGTTATGAAACTATTTTAAATGTTCAGTATAGAGTTTTACTGAACTAATAGTAGAATTTTCACACTTTTAAATAATGAATAAACATTTTATTTTTCGATTTAAATCAGTGCGTGCATGTTGAAGTTTTAGGGCATGGCAAATAGATTGAATTCATGTTATCCCACAAGTTTTGCATTTTAGTTCTACTGAGTTTAGTTCTGCTGAGGGAATTAATTAAGTTGAATTAGCAGTTAATATCTTTCATATGCGAATGGCATTTTTCAATTCTTTAAAGCTAAAAGTGTATGAATTTATATTATTATTATTACTATCAATATTATTAATGTATTCAAACGTATGTTATTCTTAATATGAATGTAAGAGAGTTGCAACTATTTCCATATTTTAGCAGACAATATATTACATAGATTGAGTATGTCGAAAACATCTTACTATTTGATTAGTTTACTTTGTCAGAAGCTTATTTCAATTTCAAAGATGGTTTTCAAAGGTCTACTAATGAAAGTCGATGGTGTTCAAGACTGAAGGTTGACTGTTGAGTACAAATCTTGAAGTTCTGTTTAGGGAACTTATTCCATCTGCCAACTGTACCTCATCAATCTTGAAAAATTGATTTCTTTTGCGAAACAGGCGACAAATGCTTCAGGCTTTTAAAGTATACATAGGGAGTTTACCAGCCATATGATTATGTACGAATCCTATTCACCCTACTAATGATATTTTCGTTCAGAAATCTTACTGATATTTAAGTTGTCTATCGATGTATTTTCTCAACTGTTCATTCAGTACATAATCTAATTAGGCTGAGAAGTCTTCCTAAGGATAAAATTTGATGACCAAAAATGGTCAGGTTTTTTGATAATTTAGAAGACAATTATTATCTCCATGCCATATCAGCTATATCAATTTGTGAATGTTATCGTGTTCGAAATAAGCACTTTTTATAAGCATACACTGAGCCGAATAGCTTCATTGCACCGTACATATTGAGCCAGTTTCACAAATTATACAGAAATTCTGGTCTTATTCTACCACGTGTATTCACCGACCTTAATGTATTAAGCATAGTTCAGTAACTAAATAGTCTTAGGTACGTGGTATTTCAGCCAAACGTTCGGTTTTTAATTGTCAACTTAGTAAAAGTGACTGTACAACCTGACTGTACATCCGTCAAGTAGATGCTAACATAATTTGTGAAAACATCTGACTTCAATAAGAATCGTTAACTGTTTATTCTTAAACGTTGCTTGACATCAACTTTTTTGACTTCATTACAAGTTTAAAAAAAATAAACTTATTTTTTATTCTCAAATTCAGCAGAGAAGATCGTTAACTCCTTGTGCATGGCTTGAACGTGGTGGCTTTTTTAATATGCCTAAATATTACAACTCATTATCACCATTTGCACAACGACGGCATGTCTGTTCAGGTTATACAAGTTGTCCACTTACATGGCTTCCAACAAATGATGTTAAATCTTTAACATTCAAACTTATAGGTACAGATGGTAAGTGAATTTCATAGTTAAATAGTCAAGTGTCTTTTAGTGTTTACATTGTAAATGTAAATGAATACTGTGAATGTGTGATCCTTAAATTCAGTTTATATCAAGAGCCGAATGATTGGTTTTACGAGACGTATTTCAACGTTAACAGGTTATGATAAATTATTAGTATAAACTTCATAAACTCAGATTAGGTGATTAAAAGTACAATATTATTCAATAAAAATATGTGACATAATTTCGATGTAAAAAAAACGTCGATTTTTGTAGTTAACTCCAGCTTCTTTTTGATCAAGTAGTGTTAGATTAGATCAAAAGTTTCATACTATTTGCTAAAATCAAAACACAGATATTGAGCAAGTAAGCAAAACTATTTATGAAATCAAGATGGCTAAAGATAAGTTTGTTTACAGTTTTCTTCTAAATCTTGCATTTATCACTTTAAGATCCTTGATCACTTGAAAAATGTACACTGTTGCACAGAATAATGAAACAATTACATGTTACACTTAGATGTTAACTCTATGGTTTATAGGTGATAATAAAATCTCTTCACTTGATTACACAATTTTATATACCATCAGTTAATATTCTGAAGGCTAGTAGTGAGTAGGTTTTTTAAATTAAGAAACCAACAAATAAAATTTTGAGGTTTTAAAATGGCACACCAGCACTTATCTGTAACTTGATTTCATATTAACTTCTTATTTAAGTACCATCGTAAAATTGGGACACAGTATGACATTAAGGTTCTAAGATATCTCTAAATTAGAGATTAACTCATCTTAGACCAATGTAATAATGTAGTTGTGATAGTTACATGCATGTGCGTAGTTTTTGAGTATTCTACTATGTTTCTGTCCTATTTTCACTAGAGTTGGAATGAATATTATTCATGATTTCACAGCTTGACTTATGATTAGTTTTTCACCTACAAAGTAGCACAAGTTTTTGTGGTAACAGCACACTCTCAAGACCATGATTCCTGACAAACTGAATCCTGAGCTCTTAAAAAAACAAATTTTTTCAACAGATGTATATCAAGAGGTAGAATATTGAACAGTTACGCATGTCTAGTATACTCATGGAAAGTTATTATTAACTCAAACTTTTATCACATGGTTCTTCATAAACGATGCTCTCGATTATCGTGCCGCATTGAAAAAAAATCAAAACCCTGGTATTACTCTCTAGTAACGATCTGAACAAGGTTAACGTATCAGTTAGTTTTGGCTTTTTACTTGGATTAGGTTGGTTTGACTGAAACTTAAACAGCTTCATTTCAAATGTATCATTGTTGCCTGTATGTAACTTACCTATAACGGTTAGATGGAAAAATTACTGCGATAATTCCATGAGGAATTAGCTATGCAATTGGATCTCATATCCATATCAGTTTTCGACTAGTTCTTAACGAAAAAAATTGAAATAATCCTTTGACGACTGACATCTTTGTCTTTTTCATCAAAACCTATTTTTTTGTAGATATGCGTGATTATGAATTTCAAGCTCATTTTTGTAACAGAATCTATGAAGCACGGCATCGTTATTGCACTATGGAAGAAGGAGAAATCGCATTTGAACTGAGGCAGATAGGGACATGGCTGATGGTAGATCGCATCAACTGTCGATGTCTAGGCATAGCTGATGTTGAACGCTATGGTTACAGTAAGGGTGTTCAGTTTGGAGACCGTGTTTTTCGCGGTAATTATATACACATGACATGTGCAACAAAGGTAAGTAGAGCTTGGGATTTCTAAGTCAGTCAAAATATTTAAAAATGCTTTCTTACTAGTCCACAAAATGTGGAATAGTCTAAATCTTTTGTGGTTGTTATAGCAATATATCTGTTAAGCTTAGGGATAAGAGAATTGAGGAGGATCAAGGCTTTGTGTTCACTTTTCCCGATAAGATCCAGCAAAAGTATATTCAATGTTTACTAACTCATATGTTTGATTTAAACATGACATGTGACTATAAAAGTCAGAAGAAATTACTTAGTTTTGACAGTCTTCACTGGTGTTTTGAATGTAGCGAATCGAGTCACTATGGTTAATAACACAAAATTCGGGAATATTATCTTCAGTCTGAACGAATGAAACAATCTAAATCTTATCGCCATATTAGACTAGTTTACGTTTACACAATGAAACAAATTATAGTGAATAGAAAAATTAAAACTGGGGCACAAATAGACTGCTAATGCTAATACCTTATTTCAACAGAGCTCTTAAAAGAAAAGCGATGATATAGTTAATCCTAAGCAAATTATTTAGATAACTATATTTGATCATCATATCGATCCTTATTTAGTAACAAAAAGTGTTTAGTTAATTTGTACTTGAAGAAACATTGATGTTAAGGAGCGGGATTAATCAGTCTCTTTGGTATGACTGCATCCTCTGAGGATTGCCTTGATAATGCCTTTAGGTTACGAGTATTATTAGCAGAAGTGGATAGCACGGTTGCCAGAGAAATCCAGGACGCCGCATCCTATTTCACAAGCAAGTGGTTATCTGGGCTTAGTAGCTAAGTGGATAACGCGATGGCGTTTGAAGTAAGAAGTACTAGGTTGTGAATGTCAACTCTGAGATAGAGGTGCATCCAGCTTACCAATCCTTCACTGGATGAAACTCGCATCCTGGATTCCATTGCTGGCCACTATCCATTCTTGCTAATAACAAATGATTATTTGGAACAATTCGTGTCGGTTGTTTTTTTTCAACTCAATTGTTGTATTCAGAGTGTTCGAAACACATTTATTAACTTAAAGTTATATGAAGTGTCAATTTCAAAATCTGTAGACAATTAGACTTGATGTATGCTCTCTGATTGTTTCAAGTTTTTGATTGTCAAAATTATGGCTTTAAGCTTTTCTCCTGAAAATCCTTTATATCAAGTTTGTTCAAACCTTAATCCTATGATTTGCATAGGTTTTACTGGTTTATTTCCATGAAACAGGATAATTCATGATTAGTTTGAGATAATACTCTTTCTTGTCTATGGACTTGACTTTATTCACAACTTGCGTGTGAATTCAAACACAATGAATGGTTTTTCTTTACTAGAATTCTCAGAAAATGTAATTCGATGTTAAATGTTCAATGTTCAACAAATAATCTGTTAATCAAGGTCTAAAATTCATTACTCTGATACAATGATCAAACACATTAAAAAATCAGTGGTACTATTTTGAACACTCACTGTATGCTAAATTGATATTATTACTCGATACTCAATGAACATAAGTTATCTAGTTTTAGAAATGGGTTTTTATTCTAGATATTATATAATATTCTGGACGACAGAACAGTTGGATCCTTGTCACAGGAATCAAAACATTTTTATACTCTAAAATTTACGGAAGCTTGATAGGTTGAGAAATTATATCAGAATGATTCTATTACTGTCTAGTTGTACAATTATTTTTATTTAGTCCTTTGTTATTTTGGAATAAAAGGTGGCCTAACAGTTCCAGGCATCCTTTTTAGGTAGTTTGGGACTCCTAAAAGGACGTTTTGAACACTAGTTTTGTATTCGTATTTACTTTTCCATCAGGCGCAACTGCAGTCTTGTTCTTCAAGACGTTTGATTTGTTTTCATCCCCTGTTAGTCACTTGTTGATTTTTATTGATCTTTCGAAAGTGTTTAGTATATCATACAGTACTTTTTTTGAAAAGGAATATAACATTGAAGTAATTCTTTTCTTAGATATTTACCTAATACACTTTTTTTCCTAATTCTTAGCCTCAATGTAAAATAGACGATTTTTGTTACATTGAAACACCAAGTACAGATGGTTATATTTACGGTGGTCGTGTACCATGCATTTGTCCAAAACAATATCATTGTCCAATTTATTTTATCCGAGATAAACGTATTCCACAAGTCAATGATGATGGACGTGTTATCAGTTACGGGATTAAATGTAAACGAAGAAATTATTGATAAAAATTTACAATATTAAATTTTTTCGCCAAAAATATTTCATCTCTTTTCTAGTTTCTGTTTTCATTTACATTATTAACCTTGTATTTCTGTTCTACGACCAACTTCGAAATAATTCTTCTATTATACAATATTCTTTCTGATGTATATGTATAGAGCACAATTTTGAATGTTAGGAGGAAAATGAACGATTTATCAATAGAGATTGTTGTATAAAAATTAAAAAAAAACCTGTCAGTTTCTTCTTGTTTTGTTTGTTTCCCTATAGATATATTCGGTGATAAGATAATCCATGAACATAGTGATAAGTATTTAAGAAACTTAAGATTCTTTTAAATGACCAAATGAAATTAGTATTCTATTAAACTATACTATTTCCTTCAAATAATTAAAAACACATTGTGAAACATAACTTGACTGCGTAGTGAAACTTCTAGTTATTTTTACAAAGCTTACTAAACAATGTTTTATTGTCCTATTCAGTTAATTAGGTAGGCGTTTAATCGTTGTTAATTTGTAGTCAGCAGATATTTGGCTTTTATAAAAACCGATGTAGTTACAGTATGATAGTAGAAATAATGGTTTAACATCAGTTAAAATATTGAGGAAACTGCCATCCAAAACTTCGAACAACTAAGCAGAAATATAACTGAACATAATTTCAGAAATGAATCAGTAACTTGAATTACGTTTGCCTATGAAGTAAATGTTGTTGAATCAAAAACTTTTAGGTAAAAGTGACTATCAAAGGCACATTTTATTTAGATCTTTGAACGGAACAATACACAGTAGAATCTATATAACTTTTATTTACAATAAAAGGTATGAGATATACTAGTCAGTAGTCACCAGTTAGATCATTCTGGATATATATAAGCATAAGAAAAATAAAGCTTGTTAAGTGTTTGTTAACCTTCGATTTTGTTGAAAATTCATTTTTCAGAATATTTTACTGGGATATTTCTAAAAACTGTTTTTTTGACTTTTTTCTTAGAAAATGAGTGATGTAAATTTTTAAACTTCCAACACACGTGCAGTTTCATAGTGCCCAAGTGAGGATTTCAATAAATGATGTTAAAAAAGACACTTCCGGAATCAAAGAAGTTATTGTATCTGATGTAAATCAGATATAACAGTTCTTTGTAACAATATCAAATAAAGAAACCCATTGAAATAGAAAAAATCAGGTTCAGTGTTGCGTTTAACTGAGAATATTACGAAAAACTTGAATTCTTAATAGAAAGCTCTGAACTTATCAAGGCATTTAATATAACTTGAAAGTTACAAAGTAATATCGACTAACAAAAAATCCATATTGTCTGATGTAAAACTACTAGTACTATGTACTAACAAATATGACTAAAATTTAACAGAATTTATTTGTATTTAGATAGAAAATTTATAATCAGCGGGATTCCATAGTTACACATTTTAGTTAACTGGCGAGAACAGCATGCTTTACTGATGATTTTGAATGAATTATGAGTGCGATTTTTATTAGCTAATAGCTGCATCGAAGTTCTTATCTAGAAAAATTACTCATGTTTTGTCAGTACATCGAGTTTTAAATTTCGCTCATCTAAATAGTGGAAAAATATTAACGCTTTTATCATTTAACTACTTAAATAGAAGCAAGTAGCATGAAGGTTTTGGGTAAATTAAAAAAGACTTAATGTTATGTGTTGGTGTAAATTTATTTAGAACATATAGTTAACAACATATCTCTATAAATATGCATTATATAAATTGTAATGGTACAGTGGAATATAAATCGAAGATTGTTGAATTCATAATTAGAAATTATTGTATAAAGAATGAATGAATACTTAAATAAGCGCAACATACATGACATGAAAATGATAACTTGAATTTTTAAACATTTTCTCTTTCATAAATGTCATTCATAACAGAGTTGATCTTCATTGTTGTTGATGGAAATCCTAGTTTTCATTCTTTTCATTTTCGCAAAATGGAAGATGTAAGTGTTAAAAGTAAGAGATATGCAAAGATAAATGAATTTGAGTTTTTTTTTCAGACGTATATCTATCGTTGAGGTTAAGAAATAGATATTTAAAGAAGCCACTGATAAAATAAAGCTTAAATTCTTGTCGATTGTCGAACTCTTATTAAGTTATAAACAGTTACTTATTATCTGGAATTCAAAGTATCAAGTGGTATGAACTAGAGCAGAGAGAAGATAAGTAATGAGAGACACTTTCACGATAAATCTATACTTGATTTAAAGTTCCATTAGAAAGGAAAGTGAGTTGGTGCATACAAGTATGACACCTTTTTGAAGATCTTTGAGATTATAAATCTTGAAAGCGGGAATGTTTATTTATAATATATGAAATTAACAATGAGAAGATTCAAGTGAATATTATAATTGTGTAAATATTGCATTCTAGATTTTATAGAAGATTTCTGTATTATATATTGGTTTTAGATGTTTTCTTTGGTACATATTCACCACTGGCATTCAATGTAATTTGTTGATCCCAATAAGCTGGTCGATCTTCAGGTGTTGTAAGATGACGTAATCTCTATAAAGAATAGAAAATTATTTGTGTAAGTGAACAATTACAGAATTAGATTACAAATGATAAGATGAGTTCTGATGTTCATTTTAGAGAAAAATTACTATTATGTGAATCCCTGAACTTAGTACAGCCAACTAGCTATACTTGTTTACAAAAGCATACCATGTAAGTAAGTATAACGTGTATGTTTTCGTGATAAACTGTATGGGCCACACAGTTAGCTAAAATTTAGTTGAAAAATGATTTTCTGACATATATCAGCTTTCTGTCACTGAATGCTTTGTGGGAAGATTTACATGTTCATAAACTGAAGATATCTTGAATTAACATACATTCCACGAAAATTCATAACTGTGTTAGTGAAACTAATTTTCACTCAGCTGTTTATTGGGACCATTTTAATTCCTATGATTTCGTCATAAACTGATATCTCATCTGAGAAACTTTCACAAGTAAATGTATTCGTTTGAAATTCGCCAACAATTCACATCCATAACCCTAACACAAGATTCAAGTTACGGTTTTCATGTTTATTTAGCAAGGAAGATAATATAGCTAGAACAGTGCCTGATGAATATTTGAAATGGATAGTATAAACTTCTATGATGGTAAACATGCACACATTCACTGACAAAATACTTTACTATAGTAAAATCACTTTTGATGATTTTAACTCATAGTTTTAAGACAAACATCAGAGTATATTTATATCAGGTTGAATTTAACAAGTACTTCTTGACACAAATATTAACGATATGAACAAATAACTCGAACTGCTGATATCATTCTATGGAAGAAGTAAGTAAGCGATAAGTAAAACGATTGTGTCAGTTGTTCAACTAATTTTGTTTAAATACATTCCTATGATGTGAAAAATATTTAAGCTTAATTGGAATATAAACAATGTTTGAAAACTTCAAAATATACTACTTACTTCAAGAAAAGATCCTTTGGCCTTTAGTAACTGATATATCATTAGAATTGGAATGAATATTGGAGATGAGAATACTATAGCCCATGACAGTGCAATAACCCAAGTTGTCGGTTCATAAACAACGCCTAATACAGACACAGGTTGTGTTTCATACGAAACTATATTAGCTATAAAAATCCCCTTTGATAGAAAAAAAAGAAATAGACATAACTATATGACAAAATAAACCAACTATCAGGTAATTAGTGATTCATACTGTGTAGAAAGAAAATGAACTGCCTTTCAGTAAGTCACTTAACAGATTTGAATCACTACTCAGTGTATAAGAATACGGATGAGGAAACTCATCAAGGTATCATGCTTCAAATTAGACAAACAACAAGTCGTTTCGCATTACCAGTTGTTCAAAGTAAATCAATAGCCTACACAATTTTGTTATAATGTCCAAAACTAACTTTCAGATATGCAGAAGTTCATTGCTTTGAAACTCCGTGTGTGTTGAATAAGTGAACGCCTAGCTTAAGTACAACTATTTCAGATCATAGGATGAACAAAATGCTTCTTTATGACAAATCAATTGTAAATTTATTCAAATCTTACGAATACTGACAGTATTAACAGTTGAACATTTGAATTCTCGTAGAGCAATTTGTTCTTCGAATGTCTCAGGTTTTACAGTATTCGTTAATTTGTAAGTTTAGACGTTATCAGTCAAATTATTATTACGAAAATTCTTTCTTTTCACATTTGAAATCATGAATTGATCAATGTTAGACCACGATTAGAAACCTGGAAGCACTGGACGACAGTTTCGTCCTTGGTATGGGACTCATCAACATCAGCATTATCTAATGCTGTTAATGTCTAACTTCGATCAATTCAAGGAGTTGCGCAACCTCATACACTGTCTTCGGTAGTTACTGTCTACACCCGAACAGGTTGAACTTCACTGGTCACGACTTCCCACTAGAACTTGGAGAAGATTCCTCAGAGAGCTAATCAATAGTGAGCACGGGTAATTGCATTACGGGGTTCGGAAAATTGTTAAGTTACACATTTAAAGTCATGAATCGGTCAAACTTAGAGCGCCGGCTCAGTGGTCCAGAGGTTAGGTGTTCGCGTGCAATACCGAAGGTCCTGGGCTTAAATCCTGGGAGGTGCAGGAGTCGTGGATGCGCACTGCTGATGAGTGTCATATCAGGATGAAACGGGCATCCAGTGCTTCCAGATTTCTAATGTTGGTCTAACATTGATCGATTCATGATTTTAAATGTGTAACTTGACAATCTTCACAACCTCATAGTCGTGGGATATTAAAACATTTATTTGATCAATATAAGTTTTAGTATCTTTATAAATGTTAGTTATTTCATGTAAAATTAAAAATGTCATGTAATAGTCCTTTCCGCTGAAGCAACAATGATGAGTATAACAGGTTTCAATATCTAAATCTCTGAAAAAATCGGTATTCTTAAATTTTCCCGATCTAGCATCCCAGGATTTTAATTAACATTGAGTACATTTAAATAATACAATTGGAATAAGATGTTTCGATTCATTATACCGCGATGCTTTTTTTTTAATGCACAAACCATAGATTAATAACATTTATTGTCTTCAAGTATTTATCTTTAATAATAATTCCATCTAAGAATATTGACTAGCTTCTTGAAAACTAATATCACTTTTAATGGTTTAAAATTACATTTTCGTATTCAATTTCAGTGTAATCATGTATTGTACAAAATGTTATATTTCTTAAATCAATCAACAAAAATATCGTTTTCTGATTCTTAATGTTTTGTATGCATTTTTTATGCAGCGTTTCAGTGACCGAAAATGAGTTTGTCTAATCTGAAGCTGATTAACTGCTGACAGCATTATTATTCGGCCGAATTTTCAATTTTATTACATATTCAACTATCATTTCCCATTTGTTTGGTACTTTGTTTATTGAGCCTTTATTTACTAATTAAATAGTTCATTTAGTGAAAATACGATAGGAATACAGAGGATACTTTTCAGATCAGCTGCACATTGTATCATTATAATTTCGACATTTATAATAGGAACTAATAATTTCAAAATTTATTATTTATGAAATTAGATTTATATTCTTACTTCTTTGTTAGTTAAAAACAACTATCTTAGTTCTGAATAAAATCAGTAACAAATCGGAAAGTTGAACAGATTTCAATCTTACAATTGAAATCAATGTTCATAGTATTTTATAACTTGACCATCGACCATCAGTACATGCTTTTTTGTTTTGGTAATTATGACAAATCACATGTTTACTAAAGATATTTGTTTTAATATTTATCAAACAGTTAACTAATGTTTCGTCATTGATCTCTACGCTGTAGCGCCAAACTATCGAATATCGGTTAGTCTGTCTATTGAATGCTGCATTTTAGTCATAGGGTACCGTAAATACTTTTTGTTTAATTATGACGTATGGAGGAATGATGTTTACGATCAAAATTGTATATATATATATATATATATATATATATATATATATATATATATATAAGCTGAATCGATGATAGCCATTTAATTATTATTCATTTCATAAGATTTTACAATAATGTCAACAAAATATTTTCTGATGATAATATATTTTTATCATAAAATAAATACCAGCGATTAGTATTTGGTTTATTTGCATTGCTTTTATTCGAGGGCTATTTATCTTGATTGCTTCTCTCTCTCACTCTCTGATTGTATCAAATTATCAAGAAATAATGTCTACTAAGCTGAAGTGTAATTAATACAATACGAAAGAAAGCACAAATGTTAGTGTAAATTTATTTTTCTCTATTTCCTCTATGATTTATGTCAGTTACATTTTCTTCTGTTTTGTTCGGAGCAGTGCTAAATGTGAAGAGAAAATTGATGGCGAGAAATACCACAGAATTTATGTACCATTTAATCTGGAATGTTATTTTTTTCGTTAAAAAGAAAAAAAAGAGAGAAGATAAAATGACAGAAAAGGAAAAGTCATCAGAAAATGTTTTAATTCTGTGTGTGTTACTTGTTAGAAAAGAAAAAAAATAGGAAAACGAACAACATCAAGTCACTGGTGAAAACAACCGCGAAAAAAATAAGGCATGGACAACTAACAATGACACAGGGAGGCTGGGAAACAAATTACACAAGTCATAAAGAAAAATGAACAAGTAGTTTTTAGGAAAAAGAAATGAAACATTTAGAAAAAAATGTGGTGTGTATGTGCTTGTGCAGTGCTTGAACAGTGGAGGGGATTATATTTATAAAGATATATATATATATATCAAACAACGTTAGATGTATAACGATTAATATTTCATTTATATGCAAATTTTTATAAAGATAAGGCTGTTATTTCCATTTTTTTTCTTTACATAATGGCTACTTATTATGTGGATACATATTTCTTAGTTTTGATCAAAGCATGTACTAGCTATATTGGTTGTTGATAATATTTTTATATTTTTTGACAAAGTGAGCAAAGTTAAATAGTTAAACACTGATGATGAAGGACAAGGAAATATTTGAATAAAATTTAGATGAGGATAGTTTACTACTTCTTAATTTAAAAACATGAAGTTTTATGATTTTAATGTTTATATGTATATATATTTCACAAACAGTTTCAGTCAAATTATATCATATAAAAGAAGTTAGGTATAATGAATAAAAAGCAGAAAGCTATGTCATAAGATTTGCTTTTGAATGCCAATTGGAAATTCAAAACTGAGCTATTGTATTTATTCCATACTTTTTAGTTCAGGCACGTAGTAGTAATATTTTTGATTTTGAATTCATGGTGGAGTTTCGTTGTCTGAGCTGGATGTTTTGGTCGTGAAGCATTCATTGTTCTTCTGAACAACATCATCAACACAAACTTCAAATAGACGTGAATTCTTAGAATTTCTTCACCTTTAACACGTAGCTGGTTTTGTTACCCTCGATATTCATTGGCTGGTTAACAGAACAAGCTATGGGTCAAACGTGGAGAAATTCAAATAATTCACTTTTATCTGCAGTTTGTGCTGATGATGTTCAAAAGAACGATGAATGCTCCACAACCAAAACATCTAGCTCAGACAAAGAAACTTCACCACAATCATTCATCTCAGCTAAAAAAAATTTTCAGCATCTCGATTATGAATTCACACTCGACATAATATCATATTCATCTGTCAGCTGATTTCATCACAGAATAATTTATCTTTTAATGCAAGATAAACCTCTCAAACGTTACAGAACTATTCAAATACGAAAATCATCAAACTAGTGATATATTATAAAACTCATCTTTCGAGTCTTTTATCAATAAATCACAAGTGTTCATATAACAAGCAGTGCAAGCCATTGCACTTATGTTAGGTTCTCTGATTTGAGTGCTTTTTAATTATGAATATTGCGTTGTTAAATCGTATGCTATTTCGAATGACATAATCAATGGATTATTCGCAGTTTTTATTGTTGAAGCGGAATTAATAAAATTTTGAACAAATTTTAACAAAATTCAAACTGAATGGCCACTGTGTAAAGTCAGTACACATCAACATCAATAAACGGAAGATCGCGAGCACTTCTGTGTGTAGAAGATAACGGAACACTAAAGCTTCGGTTTTAGGATATGAGAGAAATAGTTACTGTCAATTGACTATACAGTACTCTTTCTGAAATGACGTAAGACTGAAGCACAAATGAATCTAGTTTAAGATACCTACTTGTTAGTAAACCGTTTCATCAAACAAACTTCGAAATCACAGTCCAATCACTGATAAACCTGCCTCATTCTCTTCTATTCGTTATATGTCTAATTTTAATTTATGGCTTAAAGAAAGTAGGAATTTTTAAAATGAGTTTCAAAAAATTAAAGTACTCGTCAATCACAAATATAAACGAATGCATTTTGAACTTACCAGCAAAAATATCGGACTTATATAGGTCCAACAGATTTGCCAAAATATACCCGGTTTAAATCCTAGCATCATTTGTACGTCTTGACAAAATCGTTTGGTACCTAGACGGGAAATAAAAACACTTGTCAGCATGCTGAATAATTTTCATTAATGTTCTTTCTACATTAAATAATAAGTACAAGTAGTCTAAATTTCATACTTACAGATATTTTGACAAGTTTTATGGGTTTTTTTTTATTTGTGAACACTTACCATAGAACCAACACAATGCCACGCACTCACAAAACACAATGAATAGAATTGAGATTGGAGCGCCATGACGATCAAGCATAGTTAACACAAGATATCCTCCCTGTATTGACAAATGAATAAATAATTTTGCTTGTATAATAAATAATGTTTTGAATAAATGCAAAAATTCTATCTAAACACCGTTAAAAATGCTTAGACGTTAATTTAGAAAAATGTATATATTATATATACTCCGGAAAAACTCAGTGTTATGTGAAGATGGAGTCGATTAAGTTATGCTTAAACGTAAAGTTTAGTTCCCAAAATTTTATGCAATTAGCAGTTATTATTATTCTAGTGTGGCAAGAAGAAACACATATATGACAATCAAATTCCATTTATTTGTTGATTATAGCACTTATTCAGTAAGTTATTGGTTAATCATTTTCAGATGTTATTAAGTTTAATTAATTCATAATATGATTACTGATAAGGGTGAATTAATCACACAATTTAGTTTATTTGTACATGGCTTTTTATTAAATTTGTTATGAAATAAATTCTTACCACCCGAAGTTATCGTTATTTTTTGTTCCTTTCATTGAGTTTTGTTAGATTATGTCGCAGTTACAACAGGATCATATCTATGACATACCTGGGTCACTTTTTATTCATATGAAATGCATGATAGTAATTTCACTGACGATATCTTGTTTGAAAAGAAACTTTGATAACTTTACTGTTGTATGGTATAACTTTTAAAGTATTATTGAAATTCTCCTGTAATATGCTTCATTCATAAATGCTGTCACTTTGTGAGTCTTGTTTTAGAGATATTTATTCTTAACAATCATAAATTTGCACTTCAATAGAAACCAGTTATTTTCGGTATTATATCAAGGTGTGAGGAATCAAGTTTTACATGAATCATACTGTTTGAAAGATGATGATGTAGCCTACTTTCGTGCCTTGATTTACCTCACAGACGGCCAGTCTACTGACATCTCTCTTACAAAGTGACTCATTGAGATTAGTATGCAAGTAGCCCTTTAAATTTATTTATCCTTGATTTTATTCACATTATTTCATACATTAGAATGGAATGGAATAGAATATTTGAGAATAATTAATAATAACATTGTTATTTCGCTAACCTATCATCATTATACCATTTTTTTCGGCAATTATTTTACTAAATGTTTTTAAAATTTTCAAATCTAACCGAGTTGTTGCTCATTAATTGTTTGAACATTGGCAAAGTTTAACAGAATTAAACTTCTAAAATTACATTTCATTTAAAAATATTTTGTCTGTTTACTACACTGAACTCTTATTTAAGATTGATTGAACAGTAATTTCTTTGAATCGCTTATACTTGGAATTACATCCAGCTAGTAAATTGTTTGCCTGAAAAGCTGTTCATGGCTTTGTTGTACAATTTAAAATGTTCTAAAAGTGTAGTAAGTGTTTTATGAAGTGTATAAATATTAGACTTAATTCTTTTTAAACTTCACTGCTAACTTGATAGATAAATAAATTTAATTCACAGTAAATTTTCTTTCAAAATATTTTATTCCGTTTTAAAGGAACTATTTTTTCCTGAGAAATGAAATGTTTTCACTTTACTACAGTATGGCATTTTAGTATGTTTATACAGAATAGGGACACTGACACTATGTCAATTCATCAAATAAACTAACTGTTCTAGATTTTAAGTAAGAAGATCACGTCCCAACTCAATTTCAAAGTGAAAAACTATGTTCTCAATGGTGGGACGTGAAATTTACAAATATTATTTGATTAATTAAGTATTGTTTAGACTAGTCAATATGCATGCGCTAGTCAGTCACAACAAAAATATTTCATTCATATCTAACTTTACAAGTCATGAATGGATAGTTGTTGACAAAGGAAGCAAGTTGTGTTTACGTCGAATTTCTGTATTTTCAGGAAGCTCTACTCATTATTCTCTGTAAATCCATTATTTTCATAATTCGGTTGTTATGAAAGCTAAAGCATGAATCAGGATTACGTCTGACGAATTTTACAGTCATGACAACTATGTTAGCTTGCTTTATTTCAATCCGGATTTTTATGTTATCAATTAGTTCTATGTTGCACTGTATGTATAAGTAAGAACGGCAAGTTAAGTTCTATTGAACCTCTCTACTTATTTAAATTTAACATCTGACCCCTGTGGTCATTGAGCATTGATATTTTCTATCATAGTAAACAGGTCAATACGGCGATACAATTCCATTTCCGCGAAAAAATACATTTTTGCTATGGCATAGCCAGGAAACTATAGCTGTAACTGAATTTGAGTCAAATACACGAACGTATCTGTATGTTATGCTCATTTCCTTAATTCATCGGATACGATGTGTACACTTTTATTTGGTATCAAAGAGGATGATAGCTTTATAAACTTCATATACGTAATTCAGGTGATTTATTTAAACTTGCTACATTGACAAGTTAGGACATAACTGTAGCTGCAATGGTATTAATAATTGTTTCAAAGAAACTATCATTTGTGAAAATTGTTGTGAGAGAATACTATTGCGAGATATTGCGTTAGCTGTGAATATCTAAGTGACCAGTATTAGTTCGCAAGACATTCGAACGAAAGAAATCTTTAAATCATACACCCAAAAACATATGAATTTTTTTTATAGGCAAATATCTTACACAAGTAGTAGATGCTAAAGCGCCAATAAAACAATAAATAATCACTCCGAGAACAAATAGCTCACGTCTACCAGACAAAGCAGGAACACTGTCCATGATTGCTGTTATAATTGCTTCGACACCACCGAACTAAAAACAATGTAAAAATGTATATATTTACCACGAATAATGATCAAAAATTTTAGACTTATATCTAAAACTTAAGTTTGAAATATTATTCCATAACGATACTGCATTTTAGTATACATTTATAATATGTCTTTATTGATTCTTTGACTGTTACATTTTGGTAATCTGTTCAATCCCATTTGAGATGATAATGTTTTTATTTTATTAAAGTTTCTATTTCTTTTGCCTTCACTGAGTTTCCATGTTTCTTTCTACACTGTATTTATTTCGTTTAAGCTGATACTTAGTTAAGGCGATGGTCATACTGAATTGTTCCACCTTTGGCTGGACTGACTGAAAGTGTGTATTTTGAATTGGAAACACTCTGTGTTATCATTGAAGGAATAACCGAGTGGTATTATTGTTTAGGTAATGATGTATATTTATATTTATGATTAATAATAGAACCGTTACTTAACCAAATCACTTGTTTTGGATTCAAACTGCGCAAGAAGAGTATCTAAATTACCTGGACGGTTATTCCTCAATCCAAACCTCAGTTTGAATCTTACACTGGATTCCTATAAAAAGAAGCAAGTCACACATTTCGATGCCTAAGGTCGGGAGAAATTCAAACCATGATCTGAAAAATTATTGAATTTTAAGTATTGTTTCAGTGTCAGTACTGTATTTACTCGCAGATAGGCTTTAACGTAAATTTAGATAGTTTTCATTTTCTACATTTTCTACAACGAATATTTTGCCTCCTAATCGATCGAGATATCGAACATGCTGGTGACTGTTTTGACATAAGTCTTTCTTAATTAAGCTCATAGTATTATGATGTGTCGTACTTATTTATTTTTCTTTTTGATTTCGTGCTTTCAAGCGAATAAAACAATCTACTAAAAACAGTTTGAAGTGGCTTGGATTACTCTGTCGTTGTTAGCATAAGCCAACCTTGTTTGTTAAAATTTTAGTTGAAATATCAACAGCAGGATAATGTAAACCGCTTCAGATCGGATTAATTCTCATACCTCTTGCCCAAGTGAGTGGCTTTCTGGATTCAGTAACTACTAAGTGGATAACGTGATAACGGTTGGAGCGAAAAGTACTGGGTTCGAGTCCCAGAATGAATATTAATTTTTAGAACTATGTTCATCCATACGACGAGTCCCAAAAACGTGTGACATGGTTTCTACTTCTAGTCATATTCTACCTGTTCTATAGTTAAATCACTAATTATCTGAATGCTGTTATTAATTCTCATGATATAATAAAGGTATCATACTATTTCATTGACGTTAAAACATGACCAAAAACAGAAGCTTCACAAGTAATCAAATCTCAAAACTTTTGGCACCAACAGTCACAAAAACAGTACGATTACTTTTTTATTTAATGACCAACCAATTTACGAAAACTTTTCAAACTTATAAATTAAATGAGGAAAAAATTTTAAGGTTAGTATTTTATGGTGAGATTTATGATTCAACTTCATTTATTGAAAATTTATTCATCGAAAAAATCTCAATAATTTGTGTGTTCTAACTTCCGATATCATGGAAGAGATGTTTATAATATAGTATTCTACCGGTGTTCTGAAATTTTGCATAACATACATGTATATAGATAGTTTCATAAAATTGTATTCAATGATTTTTACAGCAGCAAAGGAAATTCACAACCAACGATAAAACAATTTGATTGTAGTAGTAATGACTGCCTAAATTTTTTCAGGATCGAATGGATTTCAAATGAAAATGCTGATTCTCTAAGTTTGTTATTTGAAGATTTCAGATTCCGAAAGAAATTATTGTAAACTTTCATCGTTTGATTTCCAAATGTGCCGTTTGTTGTGTCCGCCTAGCTGTTTTATTCTTTGCAAAAACTTATATTATGAATGTTTTTTCATTTCCCTTTGGCAGTTTGGTAAAACTATTAGAATCATAAAATTTTACGGTTATCTCTGGGTTTACATTTAGGCAAACAGTATATTTATTTATGCATAGGAAATGTTTTAAGAGTGAATCTGCGCTTAAAAGTAGACTAAACAGTCGAACAAACTTTCAGCAAACTAACTGTAATAAAGCGTTTTTTGTATTTAGAGGCAACATTACTAATCGATAACTAAACAATAACACTGGTTATAAACAATGCAGTAGCAAATCAATGTTTCATTCGAAGTGTAAATCCCACATGGTTTTGAGTTTGACCGCCAACTTTAAATTTTCTTTTTCAATGAAATCATACTACATATACTTCTACATAAGTGTGAGTTATTTTAGCAAAAATCATTTTACACCTAGTTAGTTATACACAAGTATAATAAAAGCAATAATAAAATAAATGACAAAAATCTACTACTTACTGTACTATCAAGACCCAATGTTATCAACATTAACATAAATATAATTGCCCAAAATGTTGAACCAGCTAGTGTTGCAATAGCTTCCGGATAAGCAATAAATACTAAACCAGGTCCTTTAAAAACCAATAAATAAATAGATGAATAATTTATGAATTGAATAATAAATAATTTATAGCTTATAGATTATTTAGAATTTAGTACCAATATTGATCAATATTTTTTATTACGTACGTATAGTGTACGAGAAGTTACCTTCACAAACATGCTAATTCTTCCACTCCAATAAGGAAAGATGTGAAAAATGTTGAAATGTTCCATTGATTAGATTTCTAAAAGCTTGAAAGTTATGAATTTCTGTTGGTTTAGGCGTCAGTTTTTTTTTTATCTTATGAGTTGTTACACATAGTGAGTGCATATAATTAGCTTCCAAAGCATTACCAGTTGTAATAGAGTACTTATACTTTAACTGTCTACATCGTCTAAAACGTTCCAAACATGTTCAGCAGTCTGACTCGTTATATTCAAACAATTTTTTTGGTCTTAAAGTGGATTACTCGAATCGAGTTTACAGAATTCAACTCATCTCTAATCACTCAAACAGTGATTCGATTATGAGAGAGTAAAGGTGGTTTCAAACACAAAAGGCTGACAATTGTCAGAGACATTTACAATCATACGAATCATGACGACTACTTCACTGAAAATCTCAGTCTGCTCCAAAAGGATGTTTTTAGTGCGCTATTTCTGTGAAAAGCCACCGCAATTTTAATTGGTTGATAGACTTGCAAAATTATCAGATCACAGCTTGTGTGTCTAATGGATAGACCATACATAAACAAAGGTGCATACACTTTCAGAGCTAAAGTTCAGGTAAAATAGGCAATCTAAATACTACTGTTCAACAATTAGCGAGTACTCTTTTTTCTTTAATAAATTTTAAATATAACTAAGTATCAATGTTGTACATCTTTAATCAATTTATATTACAACATTTGCAGTATGATTCACCGACATATTTCATTTGCTGAAATCTCAACATCACTTACTTTAATTCCTTTAAATTACACATGCACTCATTTCTTAAAATGTTCTGAACTAGAAAGTTAAATTACTTTTTAATAGAAATGGTGGGAATATCGTACATATGAGTAGAAATATACGTATTTTACAATAGTAAAAGTGACGTGATCATTAGACATCGTGGTAAACACGATATCATTAAATCAATTAGATGTAATTTACTGGATTAAAAATTTTGTTTTAGTAATTTCTTACGAATATCATAAGAGTTAGTGTCTTATGATCATGATGTTTATTTTGTTCTGCTACATTGTTGCGAAATCGTTTTTCTTTGGGACTTGTCACTGGTAAGTTAGCAAACATCTATCAGTGAGTTAATTGGGTACTGATACTCAGTTAACTAAGAGCAAGATACACTTTTCCGAACAGTGTTCTGTAAGTACAGTACAACTTGAAGAGTTTTCAAAGACTATATAATGCGGTCGGACGTTCAAATAATTCATGTTCCTAGTTCACTGAAAACATGAGTAAGAACATTTACATGAGTGAGGACATCTTGATTTATAGTTTTTTCTAAAATATTTTCCGATCACAAATAATTCTCAGTTAGAGCTTTAGAGATTTGTGATTTTGCACATTTGAAATCATTAATCAACCATTGTTAGACCACCATTAGAAACTTGAAAGTACTGGAAGGTTGAGGTGAGGTCGCTAGACATTAACACCGTTGGATGCCGACCCAGTGGTCCGATGGTTAGGCGTTTGCGCACAATACCGAAGGTCCCGGATTCGAATCCTGCGGGGTGCAGGAGTCGTGGATGCGCACCGCTGATGAGTCCCATACCAGGACGAAACGGCCGTCCAAGGCTTCCAGGTTTCTAATGGTGATCTAACAATGATTGATTGATGATTTCAAATGTGTGAAAACACGAATAATTAACTGTTTTTTTAGCCAAATAAAACAATCTAAGTTATTGACGTAGTTATGTCTTGTTTGAATATATTCTAAAAGTGAATATAATTTTATTCCGAAGCGTTTAACAACTAGTAATCATATTTCAAAAGGAGAATAAATTCTTAAATATGACGTAAAACTAATAAATTTTAGAAACTCTAAGTCTAGAATACTTAAAGTAGAAAAATCAGTAGTAACAAAAAAAGGAAGGGATTACATAAATTAAATGACAACAATGATGTATAATAATGTAACTTTATATTTGCATAAAAGATTATTTTAATGTCGATGCGAAAAAGAAACATATAATAATGCGTAAGACAATAGTGGATGCTTGTAGCATCTCATCATTGATTCATTGTGCTTCAATGATCAGTCGTTAAAATTATTCGATGATGGTACCGACCATTTTGTTATATTTGTAATAATCCGATTACAGTATCGATTATTGTATATACATTTGATTGTGTTTGGATGCTTACTCGCTTATCACATGTCTAGCTTATTATTGCCTGACAATAAATACATAGTCATTGCTTCAACGCTGGAGAGTTGGCTCACTTGCCATCTCCGATTCGCTTCGCTTTGCTTGCAAGCTTTCCATTCTCATATTGATCTGCTCAAATGAATGCATGAAGTAAATTAATCCGCAACACCATATTTGGCTTACGCCATCACACGAACGAGGTTTGCCTACGTATGATATACGGAAAGGAACAGGAAGATTGATTTGATTGCACTCTCGATCATTCGTTCACACTGAAGTCCAGTCTTGAGCCGCTAAATGCCAATGAAATCGACATTTTAATCATGAACAGTAAAACACATCTTTTAATTGTCAAAGAAATAAACATTTTTAATGATACTATGATATGCATCATACATTTTGTAGAACAAATTTTTGAAATATTTGAAGTATAAATAATGCTTTTTAGAACAAAATTACCATTATCAAAATATCTCTGCAATTTTAATTCACAGATAAGTATGATAGACCATGAATAGGTAAATAAATCTTGAACATAGTTTTATGTAAATGAAAAAGGCATGCCGTTATACAAAAATTTCAAATCACAAAATATAAATAAAAGTGTATTTTCACTGACTTATTACTCATACCTTCATTTGCTACGTCTTCCATAGTTTTCCCCATTCGAAAACACATATATCCCAAGACAGAGAAGACCACAAAACCAGACACAAAACTCGTTGCGCAATTGATAAAGCTGGTTATCATTGCATCTCTGTTTATTTATGATAAAAACATTAAATAAATACAATTAGAAAAGTTTGATAAAACTAACAAAATGGATGAATTACTAATACGAGATACTAAGCCCTAAACTCAGTGAAACTTATCAGTATTTCTAAAAAGTCTACATTGAACAACAGGTTTTTTGCTTTCATTATCTTACTTAATTCATATTCATAAAAGTTTGGTTTTTCTAAAGATATACACAAACCGTTAATTAGCATTCTTCTAGTTATTTTATTCAATAGTTGAAATTAAGATAGATTTTAGTCATTTTTTATATATAAGCTAGAAAAATAGTTATTTCTCATGATATATAAAGAGTTTCATTAAGTTTTTTGATCTAAAATTTTATTAAGATATCACTGAATCTTTCACTACAGTCAAATTTAAATAGATTTCATAGTTCGAAAGAATTTATAAAATGATTATTTTTCTTACCTTGCTTTATCATTTAATTAAATAATTAGATTGCTTCGTATTTGGTGGTGTATTTCAATACTTTCATTACGGGTTGTTGTGAAGATTGTTAAGTTACACATTTGAAATCATGAATGGATCAATGTTAGCCCGCTATTAGAAACCTGGAAGCACTGGACGTCCGTTTTGTCCTGGTATGGGATTTCTCAGCATTGCGTATCAACGACTGTTGCATCTCTTAGGGTTCGAGCCCAGGACCTCAGTGATACAGAGGTTAGGCGTTCACGCGCAAGATCGAAGGTCCTGGGTTCGAATCCTGTGAGGTGCAGGAGTTGTGGATACGCGCTGCTGATGAGTGCCATACCAGGACGAAACGGCTATCCACTTCTTGCAGGTTTCTAATGGTGGTCGAACACTGATCGATTTATGATTTCAGTACTTTGTTTAAAAATTAATGAAAATAGGATACAGAAAGTTTTTATTGACGAATTAATTATCAATAGTTAATCAACCTAAAACACTTCAGAAACGTTTGCTCTTACATACGACTATAGAGAAAGATGGCAGTCCATTTGAGATAGAAAACGGACTACACATAAATAAATTGTTCGAAAATGCCAAGTGGCAAATAAGGTAATAAATAAGGTAAGGAAAAATAATAAGATGCAACCAAATATGAGAAGAATAACTATCGATTTGATGAGGATGAAAAAGGTGAGTAATAAATTATTGACGTGGCGATGAGGAAAACTAGTTAAAAATCAGCATAACCAACAAGATGGTATAGATTACATTGGCTACACAATGACAGCACTAACTAAATGCATCTTTGAGAGTTATTCTGCCTAAATATTAAAAGCAGAGTGGCGGTTGATGTTATTAAATAAAAACCTTAAACTTAAAGTTCCTGCGTTTTGGAACTTGTCAGTAAGTTGTACCTGAAATCTTGAGTGTACTGATGTCCCGTAGTGGATTCGATTCGTTTCACCAAGCTACACACACAAGGCCGTCACCACTGGGCTATGCGGGTTACAACTAACCTTTTATAAGATTGAGTCATAGGTAAAAGTGGTGGATTACTGGATACTGAGAAATACTGTGTATGTAAGATCCTTCTTAGTGCTGATCGAATTTTTTTGATTACTTTCGATCACCACGTTACAGTTTACGATGATGCACTGGATGTTGAGTCACTAAGACTACGGGCCTTATGGTAACTTTATGGAAAGAACTTGGTCACCACTAAGAGGGACTTGGCATATGTGAAATCAATCACTACTCTGTGATCAATCAGTTGTGAACACATTGAAAGCAGAATTTAAAACAGTGAATTACTAAGCATTTGAACATCTCGTCAGTTCTAGTTACTCAATTTCACTAGAAACATTCTTTAAACTATTTGCATGGTCACATGACTAAGTTCGATAGGAATGAAAGTCGAAAGCTTGTCTAGCTCAAATACTATAGAAAATCACTATTATAAACCTGAATTCTGTATACGAAAGTGATAGATACAGACTTTACTAGTATTAACAACCATCAAACCAAGCCTATTAATCTAAACAGCAAACTAGTTGTAAGTGTTTTTGTCTAGTACTTTTTATTTTTAACTATTTGTTATTATTAATGCATTCATGCTTATGATTTTTTGCGCTTAATAAGTGGAGAGTTTTTTTTTATACTTTTGATCTTATTTAGTTATATTTCTCATTTCTTGACCATTACACAGCTTTATATTTTAACATCTGAAGTCTTTGAAACTGTTATTGTGCATTAGTTTTTCTATTATCCATTAGACTTCTTTGTCTGATAAATCAATATAAATGCGATTGTACAACTTGAGTTAATTAGACTGTGGGAAGGAAAATTTTTTTCTGAATTATCTTTAATTTTGAGCATAATTCGTTGGCGGAAAGTGAAAGCATTCTCCGTTTCATTCAAACATTCAATATAAATAAAAAAAATAGTATAAGCGTTGATTCATTATTCACAATAAAATACAATTAAAAAATGAAATGAAATTGTATTATACTAACCTATAACAGTTATTGTGAAATTTATTATAACTGGATAAAGCCAACAATACACCGAAACCTGGTCCAAGTGAAAAGAATATTTGAGAGGCAGCATCACTCCAAACCTAAAACAGATACGAAACTAACAAGTTGTCGTGAAACGTTTGTTGATAAAACTAAAAGAAAAAATTATTCTATGAAAGTAATCACGATATTCAAACAAGTACGTAAAGATAGAGAGAAGCATAGATAATCAATCACTAGATACACATGTATTAATCACAACGTTAATTGCCTTAAACATGTTAAAATCAATTTGATCTAATCTGTTTGAAAAAATTTTCAGGTAGAATATGAATGAACATTGCTGTTTTGTTATTTATTAATACAGGAGGATAGTTATAGATTTAACTGATTGATATTCGATTATTGAATGAGTTAATTTATTTGTTATGGTGAACTTGGTGTTACTGAACTTATATACTTGTTTGTGATGAAAGTTTACTTGATTTCCCAGGTTTCATTCTGAAGATCAGTATTTGTTAAAAAATATAACACTGATACTATTATAATCATTATTGTTACTACTGTTACTGCCATTGTTACTTTCACTTTGACTGGTAAACTGGTTAGCTAATAGAAAAATACTGTGTTACTGGTATCCTAGAAGAGGTCAAGACAAAAAAAATTCTTTTGAATTTTCAGTTTAGAAATTAAATAAGAAAAAGGTCTACGGAGGTACAGTTACTAAATGTCTGCTAGCCAGTCATGATAGGATGTTTTGCATATCGGGCGTACTACCAGGCAACTTAACTAACGAATGAGTGAACATCTCCCAGCATGGTTTGAGAAGGGTCAGTCAAAAATAATACGCAGTTCGATCTTAGCACACCTGGTTGATAGTGGTCATATTGTAGATAAATCTAGATTTTATCGAGTGATCTATCGTATACCTCAATCATTTCCCAACGGAGTTCGATCCCGTCTCCTACATATAGCAGAAGCCATTGGAATTCGTACATTCAACTCCAATTTATATGTTCGGATGAAATTGGTGACATCCCTATCTCTTCCGTGGCCGAATATGATGTAACTAACGATTGATACTATATATTTTTTATCTTATTTTTTTATTTTTATTTTTACATATTTGCTTATTACGTAATCATTTTAATGTTTTTAGTGTTTATTTGAAGTCTATTCATCCACCTTTGACCTACTATTGATAAAACTTTAGTTATCATATTTTATAATTTTCTTACTACTATCAGTACACCTGTCTTCCTACTATCCACTTGAACTTTTGCCTATTATATGTAGTTACGTAATCTTTTTCATATCATTGTGATTAATTACTGACTCGAATTGCCTTGATTGGTTTAACATTTTCATATAAATATTCATGTATATTGGAGTAAAGCCTGATGACGATCTAATCGAAAACAATATGGTTCGCTTATATGTGCTGTTCTAGTTTTGTGAATTGTTTGCTTTCAAATGATTATGCTCAAAGACAGGACATAAAGCATTTTAGAGAGAATTTCGATAATGAAAAAATCAAATGAACTGGATGAAGTGAAGTGTTTTTGATGAAGAATATTCGGAGCTAAATAAAAAAAAAATCCATTTGTAGCTTCATCAGTAAAGTAGACTGTTCTATGAATGATTCGTTAGAATAAATTTTCTGAAATTTAAATTAGCAATTTTATAATAAAATTTCATTAAGTTATCATGGCCAGTTTAAGTGAACTTCAATATGCTATGAATTAAGATTATTGACAGGATATTGATTAGCTTTATATACAGCACCGTTTACAGTGTGAAAATGTATAATATCGTTGAGGGAGAAATTATATTGTTATACTGTTTGTCTTATTATCAGAGAAAATTATCTAGAAAAATATTTTACTATCATATGAGTAAAATGTTGAGCATGGTCTGTATTAAAATATATATTTTTTTGAATAATATATAGTGGCATTGACAGTTTTAAACTTGAAAAAATATGTATGTTCACTTACAGAAATACTTAACAGACTTGAAAAATTCGGTGTAAGATAGTATTTAATGCCAGTTAATGAACCTTCCAATGTTAAACCACGAATTAAAAGGATAGACAAAATAACATAAGGCATAGTAGCAGTTATCCATACAGCCTGTATAAATAAAATAAAATTCAGGTAATTAGTCGAAACAAGTTATAAAATCATAAAATTCATCAGTAACTTTTTTTTTAAAACGAGATCTTATAAATAATTATTGTAATGTGTTAAACAATTTGATGGAGTTAGGTGTCTGCAGTTTTGAGTTGCATATCATTGGATTATAGCCAATATCACAGCGTCATACATATTGAATTAAGTGATCTATTGAATTTGACCATGTGAACTTATCGAATGAATTACAAATATATTCGTTTTATAATTTACTTCTTACATGAATATTATGTGCATACACTATTGTTTGCAATCGAGAAAATAAGACATCAGATATTTTTTATGAACAAAACTTGAAAACATGGTTAAAAAATCTTTTATCCAAAATCAAGTCGACGTTCAGTAGTAGAGTAAATTATTTACAATGCCTGACAATCTATTCTTGATATTCTCGGCAATTGACATGTCTGAATGCTATTACGAGTTCACCCTACTCGGTAAATGGAACGAAGATCAACGATACAGTGACACGATAGGCTATTTTAATCCGTTGTCCCCAGGCCCCGCTAACAAAAGCAAGAAGTCTTGATAAGGCATAGAGAATGTATTCTACAAGCACTCAGAAAATACGAGGTGTCTAAGCACAAAAATCATGCTTCCTTATACATTGGTAGAAACGCTCTTGGAAGAGCCACAAAATAGCGTACTACATCAACAAATGACAGTCAAGTATGTTCCGAGGGTGAATGTAAGCTGGTCAGCTGGCTCGAAATTATAGAAATTCAAATTTTCAGAATAAAATTATAAAATTAGGACATTTTCCAAGTGAGTTCTGTGGATCTAATGTCTCCAACAATTCTCTTTATACTTTTCTAAGTATTTACACCCTCTTAACAAAAACGTATTGATAACGTTGAACATCTTTGGTGTCATCTGTAAATGATTTTGTAAATACCATTTAGTTCCAAACACCAATGACGTAAACCAATTGCACTAGTGTTTCTTTACAAGATGATATTTTTAAGATTATAATTTTCAGTAAAACCAAATATTTAAATTCTAAAAAATGAACACTTTCAACCATTATTGATTTTATGAATCTCATTATCAAGGTTTCATTTGATAATTTCAAATCAATTTAGCACTTGTTCAGTTAATAGTGATAACAAAAGAAAATAATATTTGTATTATCCTAATGAGTCGGAGAGTTACTCTTTTTTTCTGTTGTCTCGTAACACAGTGTAAGCAACTTCGTCTACGAATCCCCATACACTTTTACCTGTCAAATCAGTTTTCAAGTTAAATCTCATTCAGATAGAATTTGTAAAAATGATTTTTTTAACAACTTACTTTGCCGCTACTTTTAACTCCTTTCCAAAGTGAAAAATATACTATTGTGAACACCACCATTAGACAGAGACTAATCTCCCAACGTATTGGACCAACATTATTGTATCCTTCTGCATATTGAATTTGCAAAACTCGACGACTTGTTTAAATTGAAAATAAAACATGCAAATTAAATGTAAACAAAAAATATCTTTGAAATTGTCAATAATTTTCATGAATACCTGATAGGTAAGTATAGTATGAAGTGCGCTTATCAGGAGTTTTATTTTTTATGACATATGAGTTAATAATTAATTACTGGATTTGTGTTTTTGACAATTTTATGTATTTTATTTAGTTATTTTATGCTTGTAACCATTTCTTTGCATTTCTGTTAAATTTAACGTCACTATTAACTCTTATCTAAGTTCATCAAGATCAATAGTTGATAAGCTTTTTCTTCATCTTAAATAATACTAATATGTATATTTGAATTACTGGCAACAAATACGAACATTATTCAATACATACTCTATATACGGTAATAGGTTGTAGTTACTAGCAATGTGTGGATATTTTTTTTGGTTTTCACTAAATGACCAGCAATATATCAGCAATGCAACAGTGAGATTGGTGAACTGATTTATACTGTCAAACAGATAGGAAACTTGAATGGTTTGTATAATATTTGGAGCTTTTTAAGAATCTCAGGGAAGAACACAATTTCACAGAGTTAATTTAGCTCATGAATTCACTATACCTGTTAGAGAATATGACTAACCACTTTACTGAATGTAATAATCCGAAAACTTAAGACATAATATTTACCTAATATATGACCGAAACGTATAATTCAAGTTTAACTTGCGAATGTCAAGGCTTATTAGATATTATAACATCAATCAAATTTTTGTATAGTATTAATTTTAAACAGAGAATTACATCACATTTTCGTTCAGAACTATATCCTATCTTTTTTTCAGTCAGAGTTATGGAGATTAGTGCTTTTTTGCACATTGAAATCATCAATCAATCATTTTTAGACCACCATTAGAAACCTGGGGGTACGGAAAGACTGCCGTTTCGTCTTGGTACGGGACTAATCAGAAGTGCGAATCCTATCTGATTTAATTATATCTTATATACAATGATTTGTAAGCACTGAACCGTTTCATTACCACCAATATAAACATTGACTGTGTGACTAAAAATCTACTAATTTGTACATGCATAATACATGAAACTTTCAATCATATTTTTACGTTCAGTTATAGTTTGATATGTCAGTTTAGTGGTAATACCATTTACATTACTTTACAACTAAAAGAACGTTAATTAACTGATTAGAATAAATTCCATGATTTTGCCAAATTTCTCACAAAGTCTTCATGCTGGTACATTAACGTATGGGCTAGAAAATGATATGCTCGTCAATCAATATGCTTGGAACTATTGCGAGTTCACCTAAGTCGGTAAACGAGAGAGAAGACAAATGATCCAGTGACACGATAGGCTACTCTAATCTGAGCATCCCAGGGCGCCACTATGTAGAGGAAAAAGTCTTGGCAAGATGTAGAAAGTGTATTCTACAAGCATCCAGAAATTTGAGGTCATCAAGCATACTAATCAAACTTATTTATACATGGTAGGAACGTCCTTGGGAGAGCCACAAAAGTAACGTACTAAAATAATATACCAACCAATAACAGTCACGGATAGTTCGGATGGGGAGTAAAACCTCAAGGTCAACTGATCAGCCTATGCACGAAAGCGTATTAACCAAAATCAGGACTTTTATTAAGTGAGTTCTGGGAATCTAACGTTCCCAACAGAAAATTATTGGTATTCCATGTTGTATTTGTTTCTGAAAACGATTTTTCTTTTGCAAACTTTCAGTCCTAAGATGATTTTTCAATTTAGTTTTGATTAGGAGAGATCTAATTTAAACGTTTTACATTCATCAATCACAGATTGCTCAGTCGGTGGAAATGCTTCTTTCTTTATATGATACCATCCAATGTTTACTTATTTTATCAATGGACAAAACTTGATTTTAATAATTTGAAATTCCATTTTTCAATAATTCTTAATCATGAAATTTTTGTCCATAATTGCAAACAGAATTTCTCAGTTTAATGGAAGAAATAATAGGGTTATTTCTGGTCATTTTGCAAAATCATGTTACTTAAAATTTACCGACATTATTGATATCAATTATCCAGTAAATTATTATAAAAAACATTAATTTCCATTCTAGACGTAAGTGATTGTTGATCTGGACGGTTTATGGTTTCAAACCATTGAATAAAAAGCTTTTCTTTACAAAATTGTATTGCCGGTTATTTAGCACTGATAAGTCTGTATCAAAGTAAATAGATACTGAGTTAGTTGAAAAATAGTTAACATGTTTTTTCAGTATGAAACAAATGTTGCGCATTTATCGAAAGGTTGGTTGTGAGATGGAAATCTATCATACGATTAAAATTTGAACTAAGGATATTTATCTGCCTAGTGAATAATAAAAAATTAGTGAACAAAAAAGGAACAATAGTCATTGTTGCAGTTGATTCATTCCAAAACAAAGATGAAATCAAAGATTGAACAGTTAAATCGTCATCAAGCGTTACTCTAATATGCACAAATATTTATATGAAAATGTTAAACCAATCAAGGCGATTCGAGTCAGTAATCACAATGAAATAGATCACGTCACTATACATAATAGGCAAAAGTACAAGTTGATAGTAGGAAGACAGGTGTTCTGATAGTAGTAAGAATAATTAATTTACGTTAACAAAAGTTCAACATTGTAAATAGTAGGTCACAAGTGGATAAATAGACTAAAATCATCATAACACAACATTACATTTAGCACTGGTGCGTCTGTATCAAAGTAAACTTTCAGATTAACTTATCAAGCTTATATATAGTGTTGAAGAAAAGGTTGTGTTTTTGGTAGATTTATAGCCTCTACATTCCTTTTGAACAGGGTTGTCTGATTTTGTAAATAATTTTAATAGATATTCCACTCACCTTGTACATCATTGCATTATTGTAAGATTTTATTATCTTAACCATTGCATTACGAATATTTACGTAAACACCATATTTCAAAAGTTCCAATTTGGATTTTCAAACTTGTTATATTTCAGTTCAGTGGACGCCTTAAATATTTAGGCTGTCTGTTACCTTTACCATCTAGGTCTTCCAATGCCTCTATCGACTGTTTAACATTCTGATGCTGTCCGAAACACACGTACAAGTACAATTATATTTACGTTATCAACGTTCACATGACTTCGAACTTCACCTTTTTATGCACTACTAGTTTTCGTTGACGGAGTTTACCGAATTTTCGGTTACCTTCTCAAATGGTTCGCTTCCAGTTATATATGATGGTTTTAATTCACATGATTGGAGCCTTTTTTCTTCATTGGGTCATCGAAACGAAGTTAATTTTTCCACTTCATCTGAAGCTCATTTATGACTCAGTTTTCACTAATGATGTTAAGATTTATGACTCATAAACATGCCCCATTGCTTAGTTCTGGTAGTTGCATTATTGATGTTTTAAATAAAGTATATGGCAAGCTTGAAAAGAGTACACTATTACATCAGACAAAGGAAGTTGAATACATGAATTACTCAGATGAAAATATCCAAGATCTTAAAGAAATGTTTTGCGCACAAACTGGAAATTATTTACAACTGACTTATTGGAAAACATCGGTTATAATGTAACTTTTTTTTTAAATTCTGCTTTGATGTTTATTGTTCCGGTGAAACTTTTGATGCAACGTTTGTTGCGCATCAAACGGTCTGTTGTTCATGGTGTCACACTTAATCTTCCCAAATGTCAAATTGTTAATTTTGACCTTAAATGTTAACCGTATTTGAACACCCTTTTGGAGTGTCATGAAGTGTGTACTATTGAAGAATCTGTAGTACAAAGTCAAGTCTTATCATTTTTTATTGATAACGAAATAATTTTTCGATTTGATCTGTTACATAGAGAGGTATCATACTTCTAGCTTTACTCAGCTTCCTATTTGTAAAATTTGGATTTAATTTACTAATCTTTACTGTTCCCTACTACTCAGGGTATGTGATGAATCTTCTGAGGTCGTTATGAGCGTGATTCTAGATAGGCATACAAATCCATACACACGGTGGCATCTACTGTATTCGCGTTGTTCCCTTTGTATGTCTTCTGGTAGAATGAAACGCTGGTAAATTAGAATCCATGTATGCAAGTAGAAGTGTGAAAGCTATACAATTTCTTATCTGGTAAATAAAATATATAGTCATAAGAGCTGTCCTAATTAAAAATTTCAATTTATATAAACATGCTGCTATTTAAAGCGTCATATAGATAGATAGATTCGTTTTTAATTTTAAAAACATTTCATTTATTGACTTATTTTATGAATATATCTATGCAGTTATCGACTGTTCGCAATTCAATGATTAGAAATTTCAATAAGTTTAAATCGTAAATAACGAACATGAATATATGTCAAATTGAATATCACATTATAAGAATTTTAGTTATTCATTCATATTTCTATCTGAAAGCTGATAATTTCAAACAGTTCATTCATCAGGTTTTATTACTTTCTGACGAAACAAATACAACAGATATGGCATAAATTTTTCCTACAATGAACTCATAATTTATTCAATAATTATCATGTAATTGATTACTTATAAACTTACTAGAAATATTCTTCTGTTGAAGAAAACACTTCACCACTTCCATTAATTTTGAGATTAGCTATTGACAAATTGACCAATTCGTTAAGCTCGTATTTATGTGAAGCATTCAGTACAGAATGATTGATCAACCGTTCATAAACGGTGACACAAGAATTTGTATTCCACCAATTATTGCATCCATCCCATGGTATATGTGGTTTCATAGCATCAATCATATAGAATAATGCCCATGCTATAATTGTATTATAATACCATGCTGTATAACTTGCGATTATACAAATTCCAAATCCTATGCCTAGATTGCGAATGCATTGAAAGAAAATAAAAAAAGTGTAAGACAGTTAGGTAATGGATGATATTTATGCAAAGTCGCCGATTGATTAGGTTAAATATTAAGGTTAGTGATGACTGACTCCATGGTTAAGAGGTTGAACATTCTTGCAGGAGACAGATAGTTATAGGTTTATCTCCTGAGAACAGGGTCCTGAGTCCTGAACTAGGAAACAACAGTCGTCCAGTTCTTCCCGGTTTTCAGTGGTGATATAACTAACAGTGACGGAATCACTGTTTCAGTAAAATCCAAACATCTTCACAATCCTCTACTAATAAGTTTTGGACTGTCTGAACTCACAGGTTCACTGATTGATGTTTAGACTTCTGACATGCATGGTAGTGAGCTCGAATCGCAATCTGCACATCAATATGGATGAAGGCACATCCGGCTGCCGAGTTCAAAATAAAACAAAATGCTCGTTCTTTATTCCAATACTAGCTGTTATTTATCTGTTCCTAATAATTGTCGTTTATACTGTTATTTTATCGTAGAATTTGATTAACATTAAGTATTAGAAAAACCTGAAACTGATTACTATTCAGTGAACTACCTATAGGAATAAAATACAATTATTTCTGTCCTTTGAAAAACATTCTTAAATATGTTACAATATATTCCATTTTAAATCTGTACTAATTATAAGGTATTCAGGCTAAAGTTTATCATCAGTTTTATTTGTATTTTCAATTAATCTGATGTATTTTGAACTAATACGACTTAATAAATGACTTGGGTTTTTGTTACCCGGTAGGCCTAAAAGATATGGTGGTTTTATATCCCAGGTATTATTAATTGATACTTTCAACTTAGAGAAGCAACATAATTTCACGTAAAATGAATATAAATAAATGACAGTTATGCGCTTTTGAAATGGTAGTTTGAATCTTTCCATTGATAGTCAGAATAGCACTTGCAATCTTAACTGTCAGTGGGAATATTCAAACTATCAATATAAATAAATAAATGAAGTTTGAATTTCCTAATGAAAGAAAAGTCTACTCTCAATCCTTGAAGAGGGCTGATTCAAAAATTAAATTATCAATATATATTATGTTAAAAAGATTATTGTTGATTATCCATTAGATATTATGTTCTTGTAATCAGTATTGTTGATCGATTTGGAAGTTTCTTAAAATTGACTTTAGTAAGACCATCAAACTAGTTTATGTACACAATCTTTTAATCTCACTTTAATTACCATATAAATTTCAAATTATATTTACGTAATATCTTACTAACTTTATCTATTATGTATATTGTCCATAAAAGTGAGAAATTTTGAGTGATGGAAAATAAAATGACTTCGTTTTGGAGTAATTGGTTTGAATTATAGTGTTGATTTGCTGTTCTAAAAAATTCCTATGCAACTGAATTCATTTTGTCGATTTCTAGTCGACCGGTGGTGTCTATTCCGACAAAGAGAACTGTTAATAAATACTTGTATCTTCTGGATGATGGCTTTCGTAGTCGTCCAAGTTTCCGTACCGTACAGTAGAACTGTCTTGACATTGAAAATCCTTATTTTGGTTTTGGTTGAAAGTTGTTCGGAGTTCCAGATATTATTCATCTGTAGAATTGCAGCCATTGCTTTGCCAATCCGCGCCCTCACATCTGCATCGGATCCACCTTGATTGTCGATGATGCTGCCAAGATAAGTAAAGGTGTTAAAGTCCTCCAAGGCATCTCGATCAAGAGTGATTTGGTTGGTGCATGTTGTGTTGCATCGGAGAATTTTGCTTTTTCCTTTATGTAACTGCTGCAGAGGCTGCTGCTATACTGGTCGTCTTCTCTTGCATTTGTTGTTGTGTGTGCGAAGTCCAGATCGTCCAGCTGCGTCCTAACTGTCCAGCTGATACCATGCTTCCCTCCAGATGTCGACGTCTTCATAATCCAGTCGATCACCAGGAAAAACTATTAAGCTAATCTGTGTTCATGGTACTTTACAAATGGCTTTTTTATTATTTTTTTGTCATATACCTTGTTTTCTTTTCACCACCTTCATTATACATATTTTTTAAATTGTTTGATTATTTACTCATTTCTTATGATATAGCTTTAAGAAAGTTCAGTAGCATCGAATTTCCAAAGTTTTGTCCTTCATTTAAGTGTTAAAGCATTCATGAAAACTGTTACTAATCTCATCACTATTAGTATATCTGTCAGTTTGCTATCAGTTATACTATTTTTTTATCTTTTATATATTTAGCAGTGAAACCTTTTTCATTGTCGTCAATGCTTCGTAAACAGCACTGAATAATTCATTATTTTTCATTTTGGTTCATAAATATTACTGTAGGTTAAAGTAATGCTTGATCAAGATGTAAACTGGAAACATTATCATTCGTTTATCTATGCTGTGATTATGCCAGAAGTAAATAAACTAATTTTACTTAGACAAGACTAGGATAGCGTGAATTCATTATATTTCGTGATTTCTTATCAGTTACTTACAACCATCTATGTAATAAAGTGTAAACACGAATTATGAAGTAATTATGAAGTAATATGCATTGATGACGGTAGGAATCAAAGTGAACAAGACCATGAGTTGAAATAAAGAAAAATATAGGGGAAAGCGAAACAGACGGAAGGCAGTTAAGTAACAAAGATTATTATTAATAATAATAACTTTATGTGTATAGATTGAGAGGTAAACAGACTTTAATTAGTGAACTAGTCCGGCAATTAATTTGTACTAGACACATCATTGACATTTCCCAATCCTTTATAATCTTTGACAGATAAATAACCTTAGCATCCTTTCAGTTTGCCGAAGAAGTAGCAATCAGTAGATTCACAGCTGATTTATATATCCATAATGAAATAAATGGTAAACAACTGATCGCTATTGTAGGAATTTTTAATGGTTTTCTTATTTGTTATTGTTATTTTTATCTGGGTTTATTTTGGTTATGCAAACTTAGCTAAACTGATTCTTATTTTATACACTTAAATATCATCTGTTCGTTTATTCGTTTCTGCAAAACTGATGTTAAAATCCTTTCAGATCTTGCTTATTGTGTATTCCTTAAATACTAAGTCTAGACAATTGATCTAAAACTTTTCATTACTTCTCTATTCCTCACACGACCTATCATGTCTGTTTTCGGACTTCATTTAATTACTGTTTCTCTTTTCATGATATATATTTTTTATTTTACTACATAGTCTTGTTCACTTTGATTTCCTGCGTCATCAATGCATATTACTTCATACTATATCATAATTACATATATGGTTGTAAGTAGCGGCTTTGAAATCACGAAATATAATGAATTCATGTTATTCTGCCGGAATTATTGTTTTGGCCTTATTTAAACTCATGAAAAGAACAAACCTCATGAAATTTCCAAAGGATAGCTTTAATTAATTAAATCTGTTTAGCATTCGAGTACGAAAACTAAAGTTAAAACTTTTTTGAATTCATGAATCAATGTTAAGCCATTATTAGAAACCTGGAAGCGTTGGACAGCCGCTACTTCCTGGTATAGAACACGTCAGCAGTGCACATCAACGAACCCAGCAAGCGAGAATTGAGCCCAGAACCATCTGTCTTGCAAATGAACGTTAAAACTCTTGACAACTGAGCCGAGATCTGGCGGTGTTAATGTCTAACCTCAATCGATCCACTGTATCGTTTGACCTCATCCTCCGATTCTTGTGGGTGATAACTACCTCACACCCAATAGGGTTGAACTCCGCTGGTCACGGCTTCTCACTTGACACCTGAGAATCTCTTCACAAACCTAGTTACTAATGCACTGTTGATGAGTTCCATACTTGGAAGAGACAATGAAATTCAACAATCTCCACAATCTTATGAAATGAGAAGTCACAAATTTTACTTATTGTTACACTAATCTCTATAAATAAATAAAAAATGTTATTTAAAAGAAATATTATTTAGTTTGTTAGATAACTTACAGTGGTCGGTAAAAATAATCCAGCAGTCGATAAGTATACAATCGTTTCACGTCTGTTGTAGTATTGCATCAGACAATACACTTATTATATATGATCAGATCTAAAATCATTGAACTATATAAACAACCTAGCATATTGCCAAATTACTTAATAAACTCATCACCGATAACGAAGTTCTGATAATCAGACTACCAGTGTAACGTAATAGTATTTAATTGGTAATTTCGAAAGTATGAGAAAAAACCAATCAACTGGCTTACATAAAATAAACCTAGTTAATCAGTAGTATCAACAAGTAATGAATGGCTTTGGAATTTAGTCTTCAGTGCAGTAAAGAAAAAACAGAAAGTGTCATTTTCATATTTTTAAGTGAGTGTGTTTGTGTCTCATTGAGGGTTTCCAGTCCCAATGAAAGACTGACAATGTGTGGTTCCACTTATCTCTTCGAAGCCCGAAATTTTCCCCAGCTTATTTGTTTCAAGTTTCAAATCCTAAACTGGTAACTTTGTTTTACAAAAATAGTATAAAATAATCTCATAACATGACGAAACGGCAGTCCATTACCTCCAGGTTTGTAATGGCTGTCTGACTTTTGCCGATTTTATGATTTCAACAGATTTTGTATCAGTTTTTGACAATCATTTATAACAAAAATAGAACAATTAAATAAATAATTAATTTTGATAACAATTTATTTAATTTTTTTCTTAAAATAAGCATGTTTAACATACCGCTAAACAAAGGACATATTCTTCTCCACACCGTTAAACATCCACTGCGTTGATATTGTCCTAATGCCAATTCAAGATAAAATAAAGGTAGTCCACCGAAAATATACATAACTAGATAAGGAATGAGAAATGCACCTGTAGATAAAAACAAATAAAATATAAGTGATGCCGGTAGTAAAAGTTTAATTAATTAGTTACATATACATTAGTTGAATTTTGTTTTTCAGAAAAAAACTATGAACAACATGGATAATAGTTGTATAATGAAATTAAAATTAAAATATTTTAATTTGTGAACCTTATGATCTGGTCCAAAATCTGATAATAGTTTCAGATTTTAGGAATTACTTTCAGTTAAGATTATAAATAAACATCTCTGCAGGTAATTATGTCATCAGTATTTTTTCAGCAAACAGAAAATACTGATATCATACATGTCATAGAAAAAAACTAATAAAATCAAGACGATTTAAACAGATATAATAACAACTGGTACAGATTTGTTTCGCATTGCCCTGCTCAGTTAATCAGTGTAATCGTAGTCGGTGAAGCTCATACAGTTGTCTGACTTGTAGAGTGGTGTTTTGATTGTTTGCTCAGTTGACCTGTAGAGAACACTACAACTTCAGTAATGAGCTGGAGAAATTTATCTCGGATTATCGCAAAAATGTTGAAAAAACACTATTAACTAATAGATTTGTGGCATTTATTTACATACGATTTCGCTGTTTATTAAAAGGAGCTTTACGGAACTTTCTTTTTCAATGGTCAATCTCATGTTGACAGTGCATGTTTTTGTATGACAGAGAAATTATTTAATAGCCGTGGAAAAATTATTTAATGAGACGTTGTTGTTTGAATTCAGTTGATTTCATAGTGTTTTTATGCGGATATTTTACATGATGCGACAATATTAATAATGTTTTCTCTGAATGAAAACTTTCATTCAAATTTACTAGAACCATTTTTATTCTGTCAAATAAAAAACTACTGGCATTAGAAACGGCTGTAAAACAATCTATTTCCTAAGCATTATGGCTGAATTTATTTTTGTTTGCATATTGAGAAAATAACGGTTTGTTTTTTTAGTTAAATTAAAATTTTTATGACGAATTAAAATATTTTTATTACAAATAACAGGTGATATCATTCAAACCGATGTGTATCACTTGAAATGGATTTTTATGAAAATAAATACTATTTAACACATGAATAAAAAAGATTTTTTTCAGAGTAAATAAATTTTCTTAAAAAATATTAGTCAAATATTGTTTGTTTTGGCTAAATCTAATTTAATAATAATTTAGATTAACACAAACGACGTCAAGAAACATCGTATGTGAGAATTCGTTCTGGCAGTATGTAAACCAACGGTGACTGTTCGTTTCAATCCTAGCTGATAATACAGTTTCTAAGAACAAACAGATAATTTTCTCTCTAGCTGATAGAATAATAATAATAATGAGATAATTTCAGATCCGAATTTTATTTTCAAATTCTATTGAAAAATGTTGATTGTTCTTAATATATATTTAGTTTTGCTTGTAAATTAAACTAAGCCAGTTATTTAATTGAATCAAAAGTCTAAAAGTGAGTGAAACAATTACGTTTATGAATTAGGTGTGTTATATTCACTTCAAATATTCTTCACCCCTTCTTAAAATCGGATCAAATGTTAGGATTATTATTTTATTACATGCTAATTTGTAACGTAGAATAGTGACTTGTAAAAAACTTTTTGATTGTTCTAGTCATTTTGTCTTTTTGCTATTCTGCAGAAACATGTACAATAATAATATAACGGTATGCTTCAGTTAATCAGTCAGGAAATAGCAACGTAGAACGTCGTACGTACGTACGTACATCTGTTGATGTTGCCATACCACATTAGCACACAGGTATAATTGTCAATTCAAGGTAATAACAGTAATCGAGGAGATTGGTGTTAGAAGATATTATTCAAGAAGTAAGAATCTAGTGAAATAAGCTTAAGAACAAAAAGTTTGGGATCTGAGAGGACACAAGGAATGAATGCGAAGGGTTTTGAATCATGTCATCCTGTGCCTCTAACCATCGATTATTATCATCTCACAGGCCCCAACCACGTATGCTTTCATATGCTTCCATGACAGTGGCGATAATTTGAGTATATAATAATTTGAAGAGAAATTATAAGTTTCTGTAGTAAAGTAACTTAGTTTAAAAACAAGTAAGTAATTGTATACAAGACCTAACTTTGATGATTACTGTACGAATAATATTAATGACAACTATTATTATCATACATTAACTGATTTTAAATGGGTTGAAACTTCTAATTGCATTATTTGTCTAAAGAGTCGGTGTTATTTACATAGAAACAAAATTACGACCGTAGGTAAACACAAAACTAATTCTGACATTATATTAACTTTAATAATCGTACTGATTAAAAAAAATGTAAGCTGGATGAGTTCCGGACAAACAGAGTACCAAAGCGTAAAGTTAACATCACTTTTTTAATGAATTATTTGTTGACAGTGGAAGCATTTCTTAATTAAAATGATACTGGTACAGTGGACAGAATACAGAGCAATAAACGTTTATCGCTTCATGAAAATCATTGTAATTGATAAAAAAAATTATTAGTAGCTGGATGTTATCGCTGAAAGCTAGTACTTTAACAGTTCTCATTATAATTGCTGAATATAATCTAAACTTAGAGTTTGTCAAAATCTTGAAAGAATTATATAAATAAGCTCCAAAATGTCTAAAATATTGTTTTCAGTTTAAAAATTGTAAAATTCACTAGAATCTACGACTGCAAAAATTTGTTCCCATATTTCTATGAGTTGACGAAGATATATTTAATAAAATGTAATCAAGTTGTAAATTATACGATTATCTGTGCACTGTAAATGCGCAATTATACATATTAATAAAAATTCGACAAATTAATCAGAAAAACATGTTTTAGAGATAAACTCAGTCAAAGTTGATATATTTTTTTCTATTTTCGTGTTTTACACTAATTGTATTCATTTGATACGACATATACACATCACAATTTGTCGCAGTTAGCTGAACATCAACTATAAAGTGTTTATTTATTATTGTATTCAACTAATCACTCAAATTTCATGCATTTTTTTTCGTGTCATCGTCCATGAGGCGCTAAGGGATTACAGTTTAAAAAGAAAATGGTAACGTTCAATTATGTTTGAATAAAATTTATAAACAACATGAATTAGTGCATCGGTTGATGGTCACAATACAGTTTACGGAAAGCAAAAAAAGCTTACCATATTGAGAAAACTTAAATATTAGCCAATATAAATACACTTAAACATGAATTAGTGCATCGGTTGATGGTCACAATACAGTTTACGGAAAGCAAAAAAAAGCTTACCATATTGAGAAAACTTAAATATTAGCCAATATAAATACACTTAAACATTATAAAATAGTTTTACAGATAGAATTGATAAGAGATCATGACAACTAGTTACATGTACAAACAAATACAACCAATATACAGTATGACATATTAACTCAGTCATTTTCAGAATTCAGTTTCTTGACAATTTGTCAGATTCATTTTTTACAAAAAATAATGCATTTACTTTTTTGATGTTAGTGAAGAAAGATACTTTTTCTTTTCAAGAAACCAGGTTTCATCACTTAAAAAATAAAATAAGATTTTACATTTATTGCACTACAATTATGAAATAATGATTTAAAAATAAACATATTCAACTTTTTCTATCGACCGAATATCATGGATGAATATGAGAGGCTATCATCAAATGTTCAGTGTAATGAACTACATCTGTAGTAATAATATGTAACGATTTGCAAATTCAATATCAATAAGTTCCATTGTATTTATTGTGCATGATAGATCAATTAGACGACAAATTTTTTATGACATGATTAATTGAATGCGTACATTTTAAGACAACATTTTATATTGTTCAGTATTTTCGTACACTAAATAGTTTATGTGTAAGTAATTTTTAACAAAATTACTCATCGATAATGAAGTCGTTGTTTTTTTTTTGAGTTTGATAACAGTCACAAAGTGTTATATTTTATTTTACAAACACTTGCTGTACAAAACAATCTATTCAAACTACCACCATTGAAACCAATTTATGATTGGAAAGAATGAAATATCGGCATCAATTTCATGTGGTATAGTTGAGGCCTCAAGTTACATATTTAAACAAGAAACATTTTATATAACTAATAGATCAGATGAAAATCTTGAGAAGAAATTCTTATGATTTCAGGTTGGTTTCATTTTCGCCAACAATAATCTCAAACATCAGAGAGAAAATGTGAAGTGAGGTAGAAATGGGATTGGGAATCAATTAAGCAAACTTATTATATGCTTGAGAGTGGAAATGTTTCTGGGGTTTATGAGAACAATACATGTTAGCTTACATGTAATGCTCAAGTTAATATGTTATTTGAAGCATGTGCGGTGAATTTTTTGCCAGAAAATGAGTATTGTAGTTGAAAATGCTTAGAATTTGGACGGAAAAGATGCTCAAGGAAAACTTACACGTAAATATTGCATGTTAGGCGTAATTTAAATGGCTAAAATTGTAAAAATGGTTTATTTTTGAAAGGGTTTGTAAAGTTTGCCATTTTAAGTGTCATATTAAAATCGAAAATTCTTTAGATACGTTAAATTCTACCTTTTATTACTAGGAACGTTATGGTGAACATTGATATTTATCAGCAACAAATATTTAGAGGGTATATTTACAAGCATGATGAATAATTTAAATCGTATATGAATCGGAACTTATTAGGAAAATGCGTCTAGATATGGAGCACATTTAATTGCATTCTAAATTAAATTCTTTTGCTTCTCTATCCAATTGATTAATGATATTGGAATTCATTAGAAAAAATGTTGAAAGCTTATTTTAAATTGGTGATGAGATGTGAAATCAGACGAAATATTCACTAATTATTTGATAATTTCATCTGTTACAGATTTGTAAAAGTGAGTAGTATATTTATTCGTGTTTGGCATTGTATTTCAGAATGTTCAGATAGAAGAGAATTTTATATATAAATCGTGGTTCATAACGAACAACAGTATGATCATCTGATCATACTGTAAATAATAATGTACCATATAT